ATAGAAAGTAACCAACATTTCAAGTTCCTTTGAAATATACATTATACAAAAACAATTCCATCTTGGATTTTACAATTTAAGGTATGTACATGTTTTCTGAAAGGTATGTTATGTTTCCCTAGAATTCAGACCCTCTGACCTCAATTAGCTGATCTGTTTAAGAAAACAGTGAATTTTTAGATTTGATTGTTCATTGTAAAGTTGAACTCTCAGTATCCTAAGCAGAAATTAGATATGTTTAGGAATCTATCTTCGATCTTCTTGCTCTCTCCTATTTTCTCCTATTTCTCATATTTCTCCTATTTCTCATATTTCTCATATTTCTGTTAAATAATATATGATATATTTTATTGCCACATAAGAAAATACGATGGATTTGGTAGTTTAAACTAATGTGGCACAATGTTATAGTTTCTGTGAGTACAAATTCAGGCCTTTGTTACCAGGCCTAGTGTTCAGCTTCTCCTTAGTCTTGACTCAAAGTATTAACTGGAGTTGCAATATCACAGAAGAGTTTTAAGACCTCTTCCAAAGATATTAACTGTTAGTGGAATAGAGTAGTTCAGTTTTTGCTAATGTAAGGTAGAGATTTTCAGCTTGCAGAGATAATTAGCTCTTCTCTGGCACATGGTTATCTCTTGGGGCTTAAGGACAGTATTTTCTTCAGGGTCAGCAGAAGACTGACTTGCTGCAAGGGCATCTTAGATGCAGAATAATTTGAGCTCTTCAATAAACATCCCATTACCCATTAAGCAAAGGAGGGTCTACAAACCTTATCTACAAGTTTTACCTAGTGAAAAGGGCATTATTGTGTGCAATAGAGAGATGTTACATCATGACAGTGCCCAAATAAAGAAAGCCTGCCCCCTTGGCATCGTTTAAAAACAGGAATGATCCCAAACTGTTCTAAGAACACGTTTCCTCAGATTTCTCTCCTAAATTATCTCTTGAGGAAAGGACTTGCTCTGTATTGATTCAAACAGTACTTACAAGTATGATATAGAGCAGAAATGAATAAATTGGTCTTATTAGAGAATTTTCCATTTCTAATTCCTACTACCTAGAATAGTACACACAAACAGATGTTATCAATCTATTCTCACCTGTTGTTTACAGCATAGACAGAATAATCCATTGCTTACACTGTATGTTCACAATACTAACAGACACAAACACAGGCATTCACAGACTTGCACAGACACAGACACAGACACAGACACACACACACACACACACACACACACACACACACACCATTATTCTCGAACAGGGCAAGGAAGTGTCATGAGGAATTAAAACTATAAGTTTGGTTTATAAAAGGAGCTCAAGGCGC